TCCATTGCGACGGATAACGATTGGGAAAGCGAAGGTGGGGGATATTTTTTTCTCACGAGGGGCTCTTTGTATTCAATGCTTATCAGTTGACATTCGCTTATCGGTCCGATTCAGCCCGGGATGAGTCATCTTCTATACTGCCAGAGGATACCGACCTGGGCCCCTGGATGCCAAGTGACTATGCATAGGGCTTCAGGGCTATTTTTACATATAATGAGTCATTTCATATGCGGTTCAATTGTTAATTTGTGATCAATACTGTACAAATATGATACAACTATGATACAGGGAGTACGCAGACTCAAAAAAGACAGAAAGAAGCACAGTGCACATTAACCCTCCACCGATGCGCCAATAATGATACAACAATGAAAGACAGTTCGAATGACCAGATCCAAAGCATACCGGATCATTATGCAACGCTATCCTCGTACATCTGACACAGCAATGCGTGTATCATGAACCCTGTACAATGAGATAAGAACCAGCCAACTAAATGATCGAAATGAAATAAGAAAAACAAGAGATAAGAAAAAGAGAATACAACAAGTGTGGGGTATATGGCGCAGAATATGTAGACAAGAAATAGGAGATAACAAAAGGATCAAGAAGTAGAAAGAATGGGGTTAGAAAAGTTGTTTAATGTCAACGAGCTCTGAGTTGCCCGGACGGTCACGCTCCATATGGAACCACCAGTCCCGGCCCGTTTTGTGGTTCCAGGTTCCAGTGCAGGTATCCTTGTCCCAAGGCAAGGCCGAGCCCAGTAGACTACTCATAGGCGTGATTGGAGTCGTGGGTGTCGTTGGAGACGTACCCATCACAGACCGCCCACTCAAGCTTCCCCAGCCAAACCTGGAAATGGTGGATGCAGGCGACATGATATCCTCGGGGGGTGGGATAAAGGGGCTTCCGCTGCCGAAGCAGTTGACGCCCACCCCGGCAGCATACAACAGTGACTGATTCGAGGCTAGCAATTGCTTCCACCCAATCAAGCCACCGTCTGCCTCCTGACCGGTGATATCAGGACGGAGGATGAAGTGAGGAATTGATGCGCCCGTTGCAGGATCGCGGAAACCACTACGGCCCATCAAGGTTGGCATGCGGAACTCGTAGACCGTTTTGGGGCCGCTGCAGTCATTATCCTCATCTTTGAACCGCTCGCAGGCAGCCCAGATCCCGTAGTCATCCATTTCCTGCTCGGGCTCTTCCTCGAATTGGGAGTTCTGCGCGTTGTCCGGCACATACGTGTCCGAGTAATCTTGGATCAGAACCCGCATCCCGGCCTCGGTGTCCTTAGCGGCCATGTCGATGAACGTCTGGGCACGAATTCGGGCTGAGGTCAGATTATTTCCCGCCGGTAGAGCGAGCGGTCGAGTATTCACGGAACCGTGGGAGCTGCGGGGCAGACTGTACCGGTCTGATCGGAGTAAGGCTTGTCCCTTTAAAACGGGCCGGCAGACAGCCTGGAGGGCACCTGGGGGTTCCACGTCGCAGGGTGCGCGGAGAGCTTCCAGTTGAGGGAAACCAGCGGAGATGATACTTTGGGCAAGATGATAGTTGGGGGTATTGGAGGGTTTTGTGGGTTTCTGGAAGGGGAGGGTATCAAGCTGGGTGAGGGCTGTGCCTGGGTCTGGACATGCCACATCCCAGTGGAGGTATTTTAAAGTCGATGAGGCCAGGATAGGCTGGAAGACCATATGTCCGTCTGGCAAAGTTGGACACTTTTCCGTCTGGACTATCTTGAACCGCTCGAGTCCTCGTAGTGACGCGAGGAGTTTAGAGATGACTAGCAGTGACTCGATGTTCTGCTCGACTAGGACGAGTGTCTTGAGGGAGAGTGATTCGGGTCGTGACGTGTACTGCGAAAGACCAGCATCTGTAATCCCGGGTAGGTTCTCCAACCTTAATGACTCCAAGGGTGGCAGACACATCAATGTGCTATTATCAAAGGAGTCTTTGTTGAAAGAGGTAATGCAAAGGTTTCGCAATGAGGGAAGGAGATTAAAGATGCGTAGGGAGATGCTAGGCTCCAACGCGCCATTTCCGTTCAATCCATAAAGCATCAGTGTCTCCAGATTTGTCCACGAGGTATGGTAATCCAGAAACTCGAACATTTGCGAAGGACCCAGACTCCCAGGGCAGGAGTCGTCGCGCGGGGACAGCTCCGGCGCTCGTGCGGCCTCGCCCAAAACCCATGTGTGCTCTTTGAGCTTTTTCCGGGTCGACAAAGCATGGGTCAGACGATCGAATTCATGGTGATACGGAATAGACAAGCCTAATAGGCGCTCTAAGTTCGGGCACACCATAACCACGGACGCGACCAGGTCTCGATACTCCTGCCACTGGGTACCTTGTTTCATGGTAAAGAGCAAATCTAATTGGGGCACGCGTAATTCGTATACAAGGTTGGCCAGCAACTTTCGTTCGCGGAGGGTTCGTCTCAAGAGCTTCAGACGACTCCCTCTTTTGAGGCGATATTTCTTGAGTTGAGCTGGGGAGTCATTTCCAACGATGTGTATACTGTGATATCTAGTATGGTATGTTCAGTCAGCAAGCACTCTTGGTTTTCTCCTAATAAATTAATCAAGGGGGCTGGACTCAAACTCACAGAGGTCCTCTAACGGCCTTTTCCCAAGACCGACAGGTCAAGGCCAAGGCGTGTAAATCGCGTTGAAAACACGTCGTACATCCTGTCTGGTGCTGCCCTTTGTGTAACTCTTCTAGATGGTGGATTATCACTTCGTAGACCTCGTGTGGTATTCTGCGTTGAATTGGCTCGGTTAACTTGGGAAGCGAATTGACCGAGTCGCATTGACGGTAAGATGAAGCCGGGGACGATGGGGGATATGTGGTCGGCGCGGTTGACGCGGTATAGTTGGTTCGGTAGGAGGATACCGAGGAGGTTCGTGAATGAACGGCATCGTCGACATGATTCCCGGGGATGGAATTGTAAGATACCACAGGGGTCTCTGTTCTAATTGCGACAACACTCATTGTGAATGTGATCTGGCATCGGAGCAAACGACGCGAGACGGGAAAAAAGCAGAGGAAATTCCCAATAGGGAGGTGGAGGGGTTCGGGAATGTAGGGAATTCGGAAGATGGCGTAAGATATGGAGATCGGCAGATTCCAACCGTTTTTATATAGTCACACAATACACGTTGTATTGAGCAATCTGATCGAGAAACGAGGCGAAGAGTAAAGAGAAGGGAAGAATCATGAGAGGGATATGTGAGAATGAAAGGATGAGAAACGCTCTAAGAACTAGCATTGGATAATCAAAAGGAAAAAGAAAAAAGGACAAGAAAAGAAGGAAAGACTATTGTCAGTCGATCTCCCCCACATCAGGAATGAGTTGAAGGTCCTTACCCGTGGACTCCATTCAGACTGTAAGCCGTGCAGCATGCCCAAGTGTAGGAGCGGAGACGGGAAGAGGTGGTTCAGGGGTTGGCCCTATGATTTTTGGTACAACCGGATGTGGGAATTATACATATGTAGTGATTATATTGTACATTAATACGGTATAGAAATCTTTGAATATCTAAAATCAAGAACTGCAATTCTCTGATATCCCTACAATACATCCAAACCTCCGTACACAGGACACGCCAAGGGACATTGAATATCAAAAACGTCCGAGGGTTCGTGGACGTGACCACGCTATCGCCGCTTTGGGTTTAGTGCGGTGGGTCGGGGCAGTTTTAGTCCGGTTTAGTGCATTTTACCCCTTTTCCGTGTTTTTCTTTTCTTTTCTCTTTGCACCTGGTATATGTTGGCCTCCGTGATATTATTACATGTATCGTATTATCTGTTATCTCGCTATCTCGTTGCTTTTAACTCCATTTAGATTGATAACACTGTAAGGCGTTTCAGTTTATATTGTTCCCAGGTTATCCCCTTTCTATATCTAAACGGCCCAAGCGCATATCATCCTGCAGGCCAATGGAATAGGCAATTGGGCGGGGACGCCAATTCTTACTTTTGACTTCGGATTTATTACGGAGTACTTCAGAATGGTCTGCGCGTCACTGCATGGCATAAAGGGATCGACATATATATCACTTTTATAATTATCAGCATGCTCCCGAATATAACCACTATCACATAGTCTAACCTTGGATCGTACATGTTGTACCTATTATTAAACTTAAAAAAGGCATGGTTCGACTCAATCCCCTAGCAACAATCTCCCGGAACAATATAAATAGCAAGATCAGCGAATCGGTCATTCACATGTAAAAGACTCAACGGATAGTACGGAGGAGTCCATCTACATAATTCCCCTTGACATGTAACAATGTATATGTATGTATGCGCTAACCAACCAAAAGCGGAACGCTCGGCTATGTATGTATATTTCAATCCACTTCAACAGGTCGGAACATGGAAGAGTCTCACGACTGAAACTCCGATCTGGTGGAGACACTCTGAGGGTCCTAAGTCCAATACGGCCAATTGCACCAATCGATCTTGTTGCGCTGACGACTAGGGCTTGATAGTGCCACTCTCGGGGTGTTCCTAGGTTCAATGCAATCTCCCGTCATACCATGGAATATAGCATAGACAATTAGGGGTGGATATTCGGTAGCTGTGAGAGAATACATGTCGTATGATGGTAACGGTCCTTCACGGAGTCTGTACCGAGCTGCTCCATAATAACTAACTATATACTACACAGTTAGTCACTACCTTGGACGTGGTTCGGACGGAAAGATGACGAGGCAAGCCAAGATGCCGCCGACGCCGCATACAAGCGCTATTCCTTATTGTCGAGTAGAAAGGCTAGGTGTTATTCAAAGGACCTTACTATTCAGAGCACGTGAGAGCATCTCACACCCATGGACAGACCATGGAGACCAGTACATGGACGAGAAACACTAATGACTCTGATACGAACATCAAAGTTTAAATGCATGCAAGGGAGTGGCTGGATCTAGGTAGTGTTGCCTAGTGCTGTGTACTTGTACTTGGTGTTTATATTTAGCATCAACCTCTAACCCTCACAGTTTCGCCTTCGCCGTCTCCTTCTCATCCCCCCTAAAGCGATAAACAACATCCCCAAAACTGCCCGTAGGAAAAACATAAAACCACCTCAACTCCACAGTCCCAGTATTGACAATCCCATGCTCAGCATCCGAAGGAATAAAAAGCGTACTCCCAGCGCGGACTTTGCTCACAACCCCATCGATAGTCACATCGCCCTCGCCGTCAAGGATATGATATATCTCAGCCTGTGTGTGGCGGTGCGCGCACAGGTGGCCTGTCACTGGGGGGCAAGTTGCTATTCCTGCGCACAGGTGTGTGGACTCTGTTTGCGGGGATGAGATTAAGGTGTGCCAGGATATATCGCCGTGGATTGGGGCTGGGAATGTTTCTGGCGATGTTGTTTGTGTGTAGGTTGAGGGAAGGATTGTTGGTTTGGGTCTTTGGGTCATTTCGGTTTTTGGATATGGATAGACTATAGTTGGAGATGTTGATGTGGTTCTGGTTTGGGGGGGGGAGGGGGGAGGGGGGGGTTTATAGTTTATTTTCTCTGTTAGGTTGCGCCTTCCATATTTACATATGTTAGGTAGTTCTCAAACGGAAGGAACGAGGTGAGGAAATAGGAAGTGGCAGATGTAGAAGGAGCGTGGTTGTCGAGGAAACTCTTTCCTAAAAGAGAAAGTACGTCCCACCGAACATGACCTACACTCCGACCTTGGAAGGCTGCACATGCATTATGTACCTAAAACAGATCGCGGGATAAGAGGAGCAGCAGTGATAGGAGAGTATCGCAAGTAACAAAGAACTCCACCGCTAATGGATGGATTATATAGAAAAATCTGACATTCGACTAGAACAGCATATCCGTACTCCCATGCAAATGCGGAAGCAGATCGAGCCCCATAAGACGCCGATGCCAGTCTTAACGCCATGCAAATGGACCTAGAATGAAACCTTCTGCTACAACTCGGTTATCCTCGAATCTGCGTAGCTTCAATCAACCTGGACATGCAAAGAAAGAGAAAAGCCGTGAGGAAAGATCCTCAAATTAGTGCTGGAACAAGAAACTCCACGAAGAGGAAGAGGAAGCAAAGGTAGAAACAGGAAAGAAGACCGAAGGAAAGACCGGAGGAAAACGTGCAGGTATCGAAATTCAGGACATCAATCCCAGCGGATAGAGAATAAAGTTATCAACACTGTGCCGGAGACAGGATAGAAGACAAAGACTAAGAGAGGTCGCTTTGACTAATCGCCCCAGAACATGATGACTGACAATAAAGGTGCACAATGAAGATTACCCAAACCCAACTCCACCAAACACGCAAGAAACCCCCGGGATTCCCTCTGAAACGGGACATGAAGAAACTGACCGAAACCCCGGGGAGAGGGGGGTATGTGACTGGGAGCCGGCCGAGGAAACCGACAAAACAAACGAGAAGGTTGTAACCATAACAAGTAGCGAGTCTCAAGATTAGTACCCAGGAGTGGTCCTACGATCAAAGAATGATCACCATCTCAACCCGGCGTCCGACAGAACAGTAAACAGACTGAAAGGATGAATGGGGGCAAAATCCGCAGAAACACCAGCATGAGAAGGGAACGGGAATCAGAAACAAGACGACGGTAAATGGAAATTGAAAGGGAAAGGGAAACCCATATTTGCGGGTTGGAAGCGATGCAATCCGAAGGCATGTACAAGACAAGACAAAGAAATAATAATGTATGCCAGATCAAGACTCCATTATCATGCAATAGGAGAAAAAAATAAAACATGATCACATGTCGGTATCGTCAACGTTGAAAATCCCGGGTTCGGTGCCGTCGTGCGTCTTCTGGACGCCTGTCATGCGCTGGTCGACCGAGTTGCCCGCACGGTGGCCTCGTCGCCAGTGATCGTCGTGCATGGAGTCCTCTTCCATATGATCGCTGTCGTCCATAAGGTGGTGGTCGATAGAACTTTCATTCACAAACGTGAAGCCCTTGAAATTGGCTTGCATCCCGGGGGACAAGGGTGTGGAGGCTGGCATGAGGCCGTTGGCGAGATTCGCGGCGCGGAGATTGAGTGAGTTGTTCAGCTCCATGGCGTTTGTGAATTCGGGATCGAAGTTCGATGTGTCGGTTTCAGACTGCAGCAGCGGCTTGAACGGAGGAATCACTTCCTTGCGGCACAGCGTTTCCCAGTTGATGTCGTGGAAGAATGGGTGTGCCATGAGCTCCTTAGCATCGCCATTGGCGCCAAGACGATGCTTGGGATTCCGGTTCAGCAGACCCTTGACGAAGTTTCGGCCCTCGGAGCTAAGCGCATCACGGGGGAATCGGACTTTGCCGAATGCGATATTCTTATACATCTGCTGAGTATCCTCGGCGTAGAACGGACTCCAGCCACAGCACATCTCAAAGACCAAGACACCCAGGGACCAGAAGTCAACCATCTTCGTATATCCTTGCTCATCGAGCAATACCTCCGGAGCCAGATATTCAGTGGTACCACAGAAGGTATTGGTGGTGTCGTTTTGTGACAGGTTTGCCTTGGATAAACCGAAATCGCAGAGCGCAATGTGGCCGTTGGCATCCAACAGGATGTTCTCCGGTTTGAGATCCCGATATACAATGTCGTGGTCATGCAGATGTTGCAGAGCCAGGATCAACTCGGCAATGTAGAACTTCGCCCGGGCCTCCTGGAACCGACCCTCACGCTGCAAGTGCCAGAACAATTCGCCGCCCGACATGTAATCCGTAACCAGGTAGAGATCTGTTGGGGTTTGGAAGGAGAACTTCAATCCAACAATAAAAGGAGAGGCGGTCATCGCGGTTCGTACTAAGATATTGCGCTCTCCGAGCGTGTGTATCACCTCCTTCTTCTGAATGATAACCTTCTTTGAGAGAACCTTCATCGCATAGATACGCTGTGTGTCCTTCTTCTTGACCTGATAGACCTGCCCGAAAGTTCCTTTACCGATGAGTTTGAGGACGAGGAAGTCATCCGGTCCGACCTGCTTCCGATCAGTCCTTTCAAACTTCATATCGAGATGAATTTCTCCAGACACTTGGCTGTCACCGGCACCGCGCGCGACCAAGGGGAACCAGCCTTCTAGTCGGCTGTGATCCTCCTTGAGGTTGATGCAGAGGCGTACGTGACCCAAGAAAGCTTCTTGGTTGTTGCGGTCATAGACTGTGACATCGAGTTCTGATTGATCTCCCATAACATCACTTGATAGAACGTGTTAGTGAGTGACCCAAGTGAAGGAGTTGGGGTGGGGTAACATACAAGGTGGCCTCGTGATCCCAGTGCGGGTCTGTCACGGGCGTCCGTCCCTTGTGCTCACCCTCGACGGCACTGTTGTGAGAGCTGGATCGGGTCTTCAACGGAATAGCCATGGGCCGACCAGCAGCCTCCTCGGCATCTGACTCCTGCTGGCGCAGTTTCTTTTCCTCCTCGCCGTCGCGAGCACCTTTGGAAATGTACTCATTCCATTCGAATACACACACCACATATGGGTCGAAACTTGGTCGCAGTCCTCGACCATCGGTGATCTTCAAAAATAATTTACCATTGATCGGGCCCGTGGGTGCGCCGTTGGCCGGGGATGTTGATGTTGCAGCCGCAGCCGCAGGCTCAGGCTCAGGCGCAGTCTCAGACTGGGACTGGGATGGGAATGCTTCATCGAGTTTCATAGTAATCTCGTCCGTGGAGCTTTCCATGTCTTCCGACTTTGACTCAGACTGTGGGGTCTCTTGCGAGCTCTTTTTCGGGGCGGAAGTGGCGGTCTTTTCCTGGGCGGTTGGGAGCTCGTTGGACATGGCCCGGGGAGTAAGAGGTGGGGTATTCTTAAGACGCGACCCATCGGGTGCGTTTTCAGTTAGCTTGGCTAGGTTCTCGGAAGATATCGAGACATGCGGTTTCTCATGGTCGAGGAGGGGAGCTTCAGTCAGGGAAGAGGCATCTGGAGGGAGGGATGGATTGCAAAAATGGGTGGCAAGAACGGGGTCGTCAGAGATGCTGGATACTGGGAGGGAGGTTTGACGGCGGGAAGGAGGGTCTTCTGGAGGAGATTGTGTGGGTGAAATGAGGTAATTCTTCAGCGTTGTAAAGATAGAAGACATTCCTGGACTCGTCCCGAGTTCCATCTCATCCGAATCATGCTGTAACAAGGAGTGTGGAGGGGTGTGCAGACTGGGGTGTTCCTCATCCATCTTATCAGACCCATCTTCCCGCTCCATCATGACAAAAGACTCGGATGAATCGGAGGAGTGTTGCGTGTGCGCATTTGATTGAAGGGTCTCAGAGGGTTTCGACAGACATGACCATAACCGCGGAAGACTCGCTTTATCACCGGAGAAAGAACCAACCTGGAAGTAGTTGTGCATAATGGAAGGCAGACGCTTATCGGCCGGATCGGGCTCGGGTGTTGCGATTCCAGTCGGCGTGGGGGTAGAATCAGGCGACCCAATCTGATCTTGGGTATCGTCTTCCAGTCCGGAGCTATGAGATTGAAAGGTTAGTCATAAGAAATGCCAGCTCCGATATAATCTGCAATTCCACAGGCTGTAGGCAAATTCCGACAAGGTCCGAGACGAAAGGCGAAGCATCAAGACTTTAAGAGAAAGCCATCATCCTCGAAACGCCATGTTTCATGCAGGTCAACCCTAACAAGAACAGACTGTAATGCAATGCGGTGTGAGGGGATCGTGGACCCTCTTTTTCCCTCCTTCAACCCCGCCTTTCAAAGGGAATGCCTTCAGTCAAATAAGAGATATAGGAAGTTGACTCACTTCATTGTCTTCATGTCGTCGCCGTGCAACACGGGTCCACTCTGCGCAGCCATTGTGTTTCCATTCAAGAACGTCGAAAAATGAAGAGGAACAAGAAGTGGGGGTAAAATTGGGAAGTTGGAAAGAAAAAAAAGAGATGCGGATTTTTTGATGAGCTAAGGGAGTTTGCGGGATGAATTTGAACCCGTTCGGATTTTCCCCAACAAGAAAATGAAATCGGGTTTATTTCCAGTTTTATTCGATTTGGGGGGTTTGGAAAAGAAAGGAAAAAAAGATGTTGATTCGATAGTCTTTGGATTTAGAAGTGGAATTCTCTGCGGTAATATAGAAGAACCCCACTGCAAGATCCTTAAAGGGTTCTCATTGATAGTCCATGTTTCCGAGTGTATTATCAAGGCACGTGTAAGATCATCAGAATATAAGATATAATCTTATGGGATAACCCAGCTGAATGAAGCTGAAGCTGACTATAAGGTAAAGGTTTCGAAAAGGACTGGAACTAAAAAACCCTGCAAGGACATTGACGCATTCTTGTATTCTCGAATAATCCCGAGCCATCCACGCCTTATTTCCCGATTCGTACTATATCTCAAGAGGGAAAATGAATGAGAAATGAATCAGAGCTGATATTATTATTAGAAATCAGAAATCAGAAATCAAAATGGAATATTATTAGAAAAACTAACGTCATGTGGAGGCCCAATATGTTCAATAGCCCTAGATATCAAGACCTCTTCGTCTAGTCTTTCCCTTCTGATTCCGCTTTCTAGAATGTGAAGGAAACAAGATTATCGCACTTTCAGGTCACGGTCCCTAGTCCGAGTGACATTAGGCTCCCAAGAACATGTGGCTACACCCTTTTCACAAGATGTTGAGTCTTATCGCGCTTCGAATCTCCACTCACAGCGGGGTATCTCGTTCATTCTTGCATCTGATGACAACATCGGAGTATACGATGTAGCGACAGACCGCTTTTTATATTCGGATGGTTTCCGTGTTCTAGTACTAGTACCTATATATATGACTCAAAGCCGGTACGCTTAGTCGATACACTACCCTGCTTCAGATAAATCTCTTGCGATTCTTTTGCATAAAATAATGAACAACAATTAACCGTGAAACCCAAAGATCGAGACCGTGACAATCTTTCAGCTTTCAATATGGCCCGGGTCTAGCTCTCAGCTCCCCTTGCATCTGCATACATACCAGGTGAAATGTGAGATATGCTGTGGTCGGCAGTGGGACCTTACGGCGCGCCCCGATGACGCATGTGGAGGCCTTAGAGGATCCCAGTCTTTGCGCTAACGTGTGGTTCGGTGGATTTAAGACCCGGGTCGTGCGTGAATGATGTACGTGCCACATAAGTGAGCTTACTGTGACTGTACAGTCATTGTAGACGAAGGAAAAGAGACCCTAAAGAGCTATGCGGATCTCCGTTTTGGCCCAGCTTATCCAAAGTAGGATCCATGCTCTCGAATAGGTGGGGCGAAAGAGGCGATCGACGCTTACTTCCGCAACCTCCCTTTTATGTAGTATGACGAATGATATGCTACGGAAATAAAGATCCAAGACGTTGGTTCCAGGATGATATCTGAATTCCTCATACCCTGGACTTGCATGATAAAAGTCTATTTTATTTACATTTAACATGGTCGCACGGTTCATACTCAAATATTGGACATCTCAACAACCTTCGTGGTAATGCCCGGAGTACAGCCGAGACCTGCATGATTTCAATGTGCATTCTCCGTTATGCACAAGACCGAGTCCGAGTTTGGATTGAATTTGGTCATCTGCACCGGGAGATGATCGGCGGGCTTGTACGCCGTGCAACAAAGTAAGCTCCTCTGGGATATATGGTTTTACTCGAGCTTCCAGCTGGCTGCAGAAACTATACTTAATCAGAACCAATATATTTTCCGGGGGCATCCTTATATTAACCATTCGGATTTCCCGGTTGCTGAGCCGAAAATAAATGGCTTTGGTCCTTCTATCTAATTTCTTGCGGCGTTTTTCTTTGATTGCTATTTGAACATGCTAGAACCAATTTAGATGTTATCTATAAACAACTGGTCTAAGAGATGACTCGATACCGTGATTAAAAGCATGTTGCTTTCCTACTGACCCGGGATTTGGTTCGCTCAAGCCTCTTACGGGTTCGAGTCAGGAGCTATCTCTCACATGTGATATTGGAGATTGACTGCAAATAGAGGCATAGATGAGGTCAGTGGTTACACAAGCAATTAACCTATGCATTATGCGTTTCGATGCAGTCGTCTCTTTGTTGGATGGATGCAATAATTGACACCCAATAATGGCAATGTGATTCGGGAGAGAACGGTGCATTATCCCACCGGTGAATACTTACGGGATTCTCTCAAAATGTAGATCTATAGTTAGATGGACTCATCTTGAGCATTGAATCCCCGCACTCCCATACAGGCCAAGGGGTAACACAAAGCCTATGATATCAGTTTAATATGAGCATTTTGAGACGGCAATGGCGGTTGGGGGTCTAGAATTGGAAAAGAACGAATATCGAAAAACAGCAGGATGTTCGCCCGATCAACGACCAGCCCGAAATGCTCCGTTGGAGTAGGAAAAATCATATGACGTCATAGAGGATGATACGCGGTTTGCCTTGTTTACAATGTCTATATGCACCTCTTTCCTGTCTCTAGATATCAGCACTGGCTCAAACTCCTTCTTTTCAAGGTTCCCCTTCATTCCAGGGACGGGAGTTGGGTAGTCATGGTCTTTTTCAGTTATTGTGATTGTGATGGTTACTGTGGTCTTGGGAATGGTAAAAAGTAATCTGCGCATTTCGAGTATAAACTTGTAGGTAATAGATATTATACAAGTTTCCGCAAGATAAGAAGTCAAATAGGCAAAGCAACTGCGGACATAGGGTAAAGCTATAAACCAATCTAGCAAACGAATAATAGATATATGCTGGCGTTCGCCGTATTGATCAACTTAAACGTGCACAGAAAGACGACACAAATGTTGCCCACAACGAGATCGCTGTATGGAACCTATTGTCTTCTTGGCTCACCATTTTCTTCATCAGTTCGCCGCCTTCTTCATGATTGCCCACATGATTCCAAGGGGGGAAACGAACATTTCGTGGATGTCACTGGCAGTAACCAAAGGCTTTTTGATGACATTGCCCATACTGCCAAGCGGGAGAGAAAATGCTATATTAGGGATAGTAGTAGGGCTAGGCCAGGTCTTCTTGATGATGGTTCCCATAATTCCAATCGGGAAAGCAATAGAGCTGTGAATCATCTTTGTGGTGACCCGAGCCTTTTGAGTGTTGCCCACGATCTCAAGTGAGGCAGAAGAGCAAGTGGGAAGTCGGCTTGGTGGTGATAGTTCCTTGGATGATGTTGACTCGATCTTGAGCTTGGAAGGTGTTGGCATCCTTCAGTTCGAATTGGATGGAGAACTCCAGGTCGACCGGGAAAAACACGTAACCGGGGTCAATCGCGGCGTCCAACTGGCGATGGCATGTTGGGCAGAGGGGAATCGCATCGGTGCTGTGATTATAGGGGAAATTGAAATGCTCGCTGCTTCCTATACGTCAACCTACAAAAACTTGTTAGCCTATTTCACAGATTGAAGGGAATCGCACCTACCTGGGAGCCCTCTCGCGCAACGACCTGGCATATTTGGCGTTGTAAAGTATTGCATGCCCAACACTTCTCCCCAGCAAGCCGCTTGAGCTAGGAGCAGGTACCGTATTGCTAAATGATACTGTAGTGGGGGGAACCTCAACAACGGTCAGGTGATACAAGTCTTAGATTTTAGGTACCGCTATCTTGTCGTTAACTAGTTAACTTACTAGTTAGTAGTGTAACGTTCAGGATAGCACTGATAACCTAGAATCTATACACTCCTTTCATCTCACGAATTCGTTATATTACGTTCGCCCTTTTGACCACTGCATGTGTAGTTTCAATCCGTATACACTATATACATTGCGTGGGCATGCGCTCTCCTACTATACACTAGGCAACAAGTATATGGTTTTGTCTCTCTGTGATCGACCCATCTGCAGCACGCAGACTGCCAGCGAGCATTATCTTTCATTAGTTAGTTAACTAACTAGTGTAACTAGTGTAACTAGTGGGGGAACTCAGTTCTACTCAGTGAGCAAAAGCGGAGGAGGTGAGCACTAGAACGGAAGGGGAGTGCTAAGCATTGCCAGATGTTTGCCGCGTTTGCAGCTTGTAATCTACCCGGAAAAACTTCGGCCCTTCACAAAACAGCTATTCCTCCCCATCTGCGCTTCCCCAGCATATCGACCAACCATCGACAAAATGCCACGAAAGCTAAGGGCGGCTGCCCAGGCGGCTGCAAAGTCGATAAGTGAGTTGATCCGAATCTCACGTTGGCCCGCACCTGCCACAAATATCCGTCCCTTCGACTATGCTTTGAATTTCATCCGCTCCTTAGACGCGTTTGCGACTAACCACATTCAGAAAATGTACCTTCAATTCCAGATGGGTCCGATGAGGAGATGGCCGACGCGATTTCCTCTCAGCCCTCCTCGCCCGTAGTCGAACCAGAAGACTCCCCCGAGGAAGATCCCGATGTCGAACCCGAGGCTGAACCAGAATCTAAACGTGAACCAGAACCTGAACCTGAAGCCGAAAGCGCAGAGGTTCAGGCTTCCGAAACACCTGCCACACCCAAGCCAGAGGAAGAATTAAGTGCTGCGACTCCCGCAGAAGACTCAATTCTTGCCGACACTGACAACACACCTTCCTACGGACCTGGCCGCCCATCACTTCCGCCTCGCGGCAAGCGTCGCATTGGTCGCCCACCCAAGAACCCTCGGCCTGAATGGGATCCGGCTAACGGAGATCCACCATTGCGAGTTACTACTCCAGTCAAGAGACGCCGTGGTCGGCCTGCTGCTAGCGGGGGACGCTGGGCACGCAACCGCGGCCCCTCTCACCTCACCCAGGTGCCTGTCGACAAGGAAGGAAACATGATGGACGTAATCAACGACGAAGTATCGATTCCACCTGACCCAATTGGCGCTACTAAAGTCGACGAGAATGGCCACCTACAAGGCGGACGCGAGTATCGAGTCCGTACCTTTAAGATCCTTGGTCGCGGAGACCGCCTCTACATGTTGTCGACTGAACCAGCCCGCTGCATTGGCTTCCGTGACTCGTACTTGTTCTTCCAGAAGCACAAAATGCTGTACAAGATTATTATTGATGATGACGCCAAACGTGATTTGATTGAACGCGATCTCATCCCTCACTCTTACAAGGGACGAGCTATTGGTGTTGTCACCGCGCGCTCAGTGTTTCGCGAGTTCGGCGCAAAAATTATCGTTGGTGGTAAGAAGATCACCGACGACTACGACGAAGCTGCTGCTCGCGAGCGCGGTGATGTGGAGGGCGAGTTGGTCGTTCCGGAAGACCGGTTGCCCGGACCTGGAGAAACTTACAACAGAAATCAGTACGTTGCCTGGCACGGCGCAAGCAGTGTTTATCACACAAATGCGCCCGCGGTCCCGCTTGTTGGTGGAAAGCCAGTTGATACCAAGAAACGCCGTGTGCCAGTGACTGATGATAACTGGATGCTCGAGCATGCCCGGGCTGCAAGGTGAGTCGATGTTTGATACCGAGCAACACGTTGGGCCGTGGACTAATACATAGTATAGTAACTTTAACTCGAAGCTCGCCGAGATGCGCCGTGCCAATCTGGGTGGCGTGTACGACGTGCACACCAATATTATGCAGCATCCGAAAATCATGCAGCCAACCCACGCCCGCTGGGAGCGCGTTTCCCCGGCTCCGACGTCTGTCCCGACCGAGTTGACGACGAACATGAACTCATTGAACATCTCAAACGAAGCTTCTTCCGGCCACGAAAAGCAGACCCCCCACGAAACCCAAGAATCGCGCGAGGCCACCACTGGCGAAACCTCTACCGAAAGCCCTGCCACTACATTTTCCCCTGTTCCCACCCATCTCCATGACCACTACGTCATCCAAGATATCGTCTACGAATCCCCGCCATACTCAAACATGGGCATCCCGGGCCCTGATGGTGATGTGCAAGATATTGGCCCCAACGGCCTGGTCAGCGTCGCCAACCCCAAGCATCCCGAGTTCATGAGTCCAGAGATCCTCCAGTTGCTTCCGTCGGAGTGCAAGGAAGCTCTCATTGACGCTGCAACCCAGGAGGTTGAATGGAAGACCAAGTGGACCACCGAGACCATGAACGGCGAGCGTACTCAGCCAACCAAGAGCTACGCCTGGTACCCGTAAACCCTGTGCTTGATTTTTCTTTTTTCTTGGGGTTCTTGCGAGTCGGCGAAATTTATGGGTTATCATGGGCTGGGTGGGTGGTTGGACATGGCAGGCGAAAGCCGCTGGAGTTATTTCTTTCTTTCTGCTTCCGAGTCTGCTTTCGCTTTCTCAAAATATGCCTAGGATAGATATTTGACCATGAGGTATTGACTGGTTTTCATTCTTTTTCGGTCTTCGAATGCCGGGTCTACATGACTGAACTTGGCTTTGAGTGATAGTCTTTTAGAGATAATATCGAACCACCTTTTTTTTCTACGATGACATTATGCTAGCCTGCTAGCCTTTCTGGGACCTTCGTCATAAATATCTTCTCTTTCCGGTAGCCCTTCATCCGTATCTTCTGACTGTAGTACATGGACTGATGATTTACAACTAAAGTTATGGATGCGCATCCCAAGCTGAGAATTTAAAATCAATAACTTAGCTTACAAGAATAAATAAAACAAAGAAAACCGAGGTCATCTAAAACTCCAATTCAAAAAAAGCAAAATAAACATGAACCCAAGAGATCGAGGGAGTTGGCTTGAGAAAGGGTGTTGAGGAGTGGAACAGCCAGATAAAAAAAAATGACAGAAGACAAGACAAGACAGATCGGCACAGACCTCGGGGATCTAGGTAGTGTCGGATCATATGGAAGGAGGGAATGGTAGAGAAACAACAAGAGAGATAAGAGGTAATGAAGAAGGGTTACCGGTACGTCAACACCGGGAGCCACAGGTGGAAAAAGGCTGATAGAACGGCTGGGTCATGCATGCGAGAGTAAGACAAGGAACAAGGAAGAGCAAAGACGAGGCTGCATTGGTCGCGTGGTAGGAAGTAAGGGACCGTCACATGGCCATTTCCGCGCGCAACTTTGCCAGCTCGGCCTCTTCGTCTTCTTCCTCTTGTGCCTTGGCGGGGTGTTTGACTATAGACAAGTCGTCGGTTAGTGAGCGATACATGTGACACCGGTGTATTTGGTTCCGTTCCCACTTACGGTCTGTATTCCCCGCAGCTGGTAGCCGGTCCAGTTGACTGCCCACAGGTACGGTCCCGGTGTGAAGCATTTTCGCGTCCATCGCTTCCTGCTCCAGACCCTCCAACTCGGCATCGAGCTCTTCCTCGTCCGCCTGCTCGCCGATAGAGAAACTGGTAATGACGCTTCCGATCTCGGCGCTGAGCGCATGCTGCTCTTGGAGGCCCTCCCTGCGAGTTATTAGTACCATGGTAATACAAGAGTCGCGACAGGGCGATATGATAGATAAGGGTAAAGGTATTCAGTGAGCCCGCCATCAACGTACATCGTAGAGTCGACATCTTCGAGCTTCATTCCACCATGGATCTGCTTCATAGCGGCACCTGCCTGCTTCATAGCAGCCAAGGTCTCGTGGTTGATATTCGCGGCTTCGATGGAGTATATCTGCTGCTCGAGTTGCATACTCTGAGCTGTTGTCTGCTCGAGAGTTTTCTCGTGGATCTTTTTCCGTCGGAGGGCATTTTTAGCGGCTATTGAACACAAAGTAAAAGAAGCAATAGTTAGCCAAAACCGCAACCTTCAAATAGATGCCTAACAACAATCTGCAAGATCCGCAGTCATACCATTCTTATCTGTGTTGACGTTCTTCCGCGCTATAGCCTCCTGTTCTGAGATCTGGCTCTCGAGATGCCTCTCACGTTTCTGCAGCATATCGAGCTGCCTGCGCAAATTTAGAATAGCCTCCTTGGGCATATCTTTCCGCTTCTGGGCGGCGGCCCCGCCAAACCAAGACCACATGGTGATGTCGGTGACTGTGTAACTGGGAAACCGAATAGAAAAAGTAAGCAGGATAGGCCCCGGTGGTCAGGTAATAGCTAGGTAATATGTCCAAGGAGACCAGTGGCCGAAAATCTGGAGTGAGTGAGGAGAGAAGAGTAGATTGGTTGTTTTCTTTGCTGCAAGTCAGGTGGAGCGATAGGCTCTAGGCAGAGCCAGGGAGCCGACAGACGAAGTAAGAAAAGGGCGTAAAATAACCTCCGAATGAGCAGGGAATCTGGAGCACACGACTCGTCGAGAGCGCTTCCAAGGATAATCTCTGGATGAATGCAAAGTGTGGAGGGGAGGGAGCCCGACTTTCCCCTCGCTGAGGCTAGTTATGACATACACGGTAAGGTTAGTCACGTGCGCCAACAAGAACCGCTCTATAGCGCGGAAGAAGAACGTCATGTTTGTGGTCTTTTGATCTGTCTCTTATTCTTTTCTTTCAATCTTCACACTTTTACAATGTTGAGCATCTTCTTCAACTAGCGCAGAGATGAATGGGCCGCGCCCCTCGACTCGCGTGTTCCTCTCCGATCTCTCGTCTCTACAGGCGGACTCGAAGGTCCGCTTTCTTGGCTGGTGCGTCAGGCCCAGAGCGAAGAAGAAATTGTATAAAGTTGAGGCTTTCCAATACTAACGATGATCTACGTTCTTGTGTACACATAGTGTGACATATTATAACATCAAAACTGGTCATTTGATACTGGAACACAACTATCCACGCAGCAAGATAGCTCCAAGCTCTGTATCTGTCGACATCAATCCTCTCCTTGAGGACCTGACCGCCGAGGAATTGGGCGTGGGGACATGGCTGAATATCGTGGGCTATGTCAGAGAGTCGGAGCCGCTGCCGCCACCATCTTCATTCTCCTCGGACGCGAACCAGCCGAGCCAGAGGCCTTCTACGTGCCCCCCTCGTCCGGTGTATGTTGAGGCAATCATGGTATTTCCGGCCGGAGCTATTGCCATCGGGGAGTATGAGCGAATCCTTTGCAATTCTCAGCATGTCGAGCGGATGATACAGTTCAACAACTAAGAAAACGAAAACATCTGTAGTGGCTGAAAAGATTACATCGAACTAAAAGCCAATCACGCATTAATGGAGCGTCTCTGCATTAGATATTTTGCTATGTAATCACTTTTCGAGCACCTCATATACAAGGCGAGGGGTATCAAGACGTAAACCAAAACACCAGGCCAAAAGGCCTCAGAAGGCAACCTAAACCGCCTCCTCCACTTTCTTCTCATCTGACAGATGCACCAGCTGAAGCTGAACCTGCCTCCTAGCCCGCTTCCCCTCCAGCTTCATCTTCTCCTCCTGCATGCGCAGAATAAGGGGACTCTTCATACGAATCTTATGCCCATACTTATAGAACACAAACGGAATTGGCACGATCACGACCTCCAACAACCCCAACAGAGTGCCCGCCCAATTCGGCCCCAGACTGGCATACATAGAAGAGCCAGCAAGAGGCAGAACACCACCGAGTATACTCCGAATAACTGAGTTGCCGGCCAAAGCAGAAGCAGCATACATGCCGTAGCTGTGAGTCAGGTAGTTGGACGAATAGATGAAAACACCAGTGTTTCCAGCGCCGAACGGGATACCCGCGAGCAGGGGCACGATCCAGGGGATCGAAGCTGGGGAGCAGGTCCATGCAAACCAGAGCTCGCCGACTGGGATCATCGCTGCGCAGATGCAGACGAACGAGACCATTGCCTCGGGGTGTAATTTTCCGGTCTCGGGGTCTTTGGCGTGGCTATTGATTAGTCGCCGGATTAAGGGTTCGCAGGCGATTGTGAGGACGACGCCAATCCCGATGCCCAGGAAGGCGAGCCCAGAAATGCCCAGTCCCCATCCGCGAATGTCTCGGAAGACAATTGGGTAGGCTACGAAGCAGAGGTACAGGATGCCGTAGATGATTGCGATGTAGATGTTCCAGAAGATGCTGAGCGTGTTAGAACATGCAATGTGGGTTGCTGTTGGGTATGTAAGTGTAAGAAACTCACCAGATTGGTTCGGTGACTGCCATTACAAATGGCCGGCTGAGGTTCAGTTTGAGGATTTCAGCAAGGCTCGCCTTTTGGTCGTAGCGACTCCACCAGCGGGAATCGCCGCTCTCCTTGCGCAGTCTGGCTGCTTTATTTTGGAGAATGGTTGGTGCATATGTTTCCTTGAGGATGATAGCAAAGGCCAAAGCAATAGCGGAGAGCATGAGCGCGATCCAGCACATCCAGCGCCAGCCAAGATATTCAGTGACGAAGCCTCCGATAACAGGACCAATGACTACATCCTGTTAGAGATGAACTCGTTATATCAGAAAAGAGAATAAGGGAAGAACAAACCTGGTCCGTTGAGTGGCCCAATACTCCAAACAGAGATTGCCAGAGCACGTTGCTCATCATCCACCAAATCAGCCACCATACCGGGCGCGGTAGAGATCATGACACTGCCGAAGAAAGCAGCGATGAAGCGAATGACGATCAGTGCCGTGACGGACTTGGCGAGTGCGCAGGGGATGATCAGGACTGTGAACACGGCAAGACAAATTACACAGACAGGTTTCCGTCCGTAGACTTCGCTCAACGGGGCCATGAACATGGATCCGATGGCAAGACCGAACAGATAGAAGGTCAAGCCAAGGGTGACGATAATCCTGGATTGGCCGAATTCCTCCGCCATTAATGTAATACCTGATGTATAAGAAGTTGAATATAACACGCTTCCGAGTTTGTTAGCTAAAGAATCTCGCGCTTCAGAACTTCAAGATAGAAACTTACACGATGAGAGTATTCCATGATAGAAACACGATGCCCATGGACTTATACTTGAAGTTCCAATTCTTGGGGTTCTCAGGGTCATCATTGCCATCCCAGTCGACTTCATAGTCGGGGTCGGCGGTGGCATTGGTTGCGATTGTCGTTACACGCTCCGACAGTGACATATGCGAGGTTCGCGAGGCACGAGCTGTCAATGTCTTTCCCAGCGCATCGCGCTCGATCTGTGCGTCTATCGTGGAAATTGACTCGATAGAGTCTGTGTCTTGGGACATCCTCTCAGTGTGTTCGGGCCATTTATCTTGGCCCTCTAAATTGAAGTCCTTTGTTGCCATTCCCTGAACGAAGGGCTTTCAAACCAATGAAACAGTACCGGAGATCAGATGGCAAGTTACTCCAATATTAAGGGTCGCAGTTGATAGAATAGGAGAAATAAGAGCAAAGAGTCCCTCTGTGTTCGATTTCAGCCCCGAAATAAGGCTGTAGAAGTAGAGTGTGTCGCTCTCTCCTTTTTTTTATAGAGATATGGTGGAAATGCTGCAAATCCTGAAACCGAGGTTGCTTTATCAACCAAACCTCCGAACTGACACAGATTGTGACAGAAGATAGCCCTGGAGAAATTGAAGGCATTTATCATCAAAACACTTGGAAGGTGGGGCTGAAAGTCATTGATAAGCATATTCAAAGAGAATTTGCTAGGCTCGTAGGGCGTACATGGCTTGCAGGATTTGTGATGTGCCGAGAAGATGATCTATAGCCCAGGAAAAAAAAGGGAGGATACTTACTTTTCCTAGTACCAAATTGTATATAACTATAGGGGTAACAGAGTATCAGATTTCCCTTATATCCCTATATACCTATACCCCCTATACTACTCCGTGCTTAGAATATGTCCTACAAACCCTTGGCATGGATTTCCCCATGGGCAAAGCGATTTGCCATGGCGTGATATCTCCGCAAAGACAGAACTTGTGTGTTCCGACCCAATTTGTCTCCACACGGCCTATTAGGCTCGAAAGAGTGCACCATGTGGGTTCTAGCCTGGGCTGTAGCGTGCCGGTTTGCCGAATACTGCCTGTGAGAGCGGTGCAATATATATTGAGGGTGTATTTTCATGGCACAATAATAATAATCATTCCATGTATACTACTTCGACCTTGAAGTACAAAGTAGATATCAATTTTGGTCCAGATCAAAGTGGGTTCGCGTGGAACCGGGAAAAAGCGGTTGAGAAGAGAATGAAACATGAATGAAACAAGAATAGAAACTTCTATTTCGATCCCAACTAGTTATAGTTAGTCACTTTTATGTATGTAACATTGTAGAAGGTTCCAGTTCTGATGATGTTGTACGCTAACAGTAGTTTCACATTCGATCTATAAACCGAAGAAATCCCCGAGGAAAGCCATAATAGAAGGCTATACATGGAAAAGTTTCCGCGTACCAAATCAAGAAGGCAGAGACGATATCTATGAAATGACACCCAAAAAGACATCTAAGACTACTACTCCGTACTATTAACCTAAGTAGATCATGTTGTTCTTAACAGAGACCACAAACGCACCCGACTATTCTTATTTGTCTAATACAACATGGATACGGCATAGGCATTCTACTTAAAATCTCTTATCTTAAGTGACAAACGGGGACCCTGCATAGGTTTGAAGCTTCAACCGCACCCCGTTCCAAATGAGGCGCTCTCACTGGCAATAAAGGGGTCTCAGGCCGGTTGTTCACATAGCCGAACTAAGGTCTAAGCGACCCGTCGAATGGGTCTATCAGATCGTTTAATATCGTATCTGAAACAGGTCGCTTTAAATATAGACCTTCAAACGGCCCTATGGCAAATAATGGCAAACTTCTTGTACTCCCTCACAAGCTTCCTTTTTAAAAATCCCCGGTGAAGCTGCAACCTTGGAAAAAAAGTATTCTGTAACTGTCCAACTATCATGACGTCGCTCATAGTAGCTAGCCTGGCTGTACTAGGTGCTCTCTATATGTGGCGTGTCAACTCTGCTATGAAAGTAGTCCCCGAAGAGGCACGGAAACTATCACCTCATCGTTGGACAGTCGAAGAAATCAAAGCAGCTTACAAAAAGAGCCTAGAAAACCCTATCGATGTGACTAAGAGCCTGCCACCAAAACAATCCCGACGATATGTGATCGTAGGCGGAACTGGTAAGTATAGATATAGATCGCTTTTCGAATTCATTTACTGACTCTCCGAACTATAGGCCTAGTTGGTGCTTGGATAGTCTCGCATCTTCTCGCACGGGGCGAAGACCCCAAGGCAATTCGCATTCTAGACCTAATATCCCCAGAGCAGGACATCTTCAACAAAGGCGTGGGCTGGATCAAAACCGATATCACCGACGAGCTCGCAGTAACAACCGCATTCGAAGAGCCATGGGCTGCCAATGTCACCAACCTTGCCCTAACAGTCTACCACACCGCAGCTATAATCCGACCGCAGGACCGACTCAAGAGCTTCCTACCACTCAGCAGCAAAGTCAACATCGACGGCACACGGAATGTCCTGAATGCCGCAAGGGCCGCCGGCGCCACAGCCTTCATCTGGACATCCTCAGGCTCCGTGGCCCTGCACCGGCCAACCTTCTGGATCGCGCCGTGGGCGACCCAGCCTACGCGCGTAGTCCAAGTAATCGGCGACAGCACCAAACTGCCCGGATCCCACTACCAATTCTTCAGCAACTACGCCGTAACCAAAACCGAAGCAGAGGGCCTCGTCCGCGCAGCGGATAACCCAGCAACAAACTTCCGCACCGGCTGCATCCGCCCCACGAACGGTGTCTATGGCACAGGCGGCCAGGCCAACAATGTCATCACGGGGCTTTACCTCCGCAACGGTGGCAGTCCGACCTGGGCTCGCCCGATCCTGCAGAGTTTTGTGCACGCCGAAAACGTCTCGATCGCACACCTCTTGTACGAACAGCGTCTGATCCAGCAGAGCGAGCCTGGTTCGCAGCTCCCGAATACAGGCGGCCAGGCGTTCACCGTTAGCGACCCCAACCCGGCGATTGCATTTAATGATTTGTACACGCTACTCACGACGTTGTCCAAAACGCCGCTTTCATTCCCGGAGGTGCAGCCCTTGCCGTTGTTGGTGATGGCGTATTTTATTGAGATGTATACTTTCTTGCAGTTTAGATATCTCTCTTGGTTGCCGAGGTTGTCAGGGGATATTGGGCAACTTCAGCCGTCGCTGTTTTCCATTATCAATGTTCATGTGTTTGCTGATGATTCGCGCGCGAAGCTGGCACCTGAGATGGGTGGGTTAGGGTATAACCCGCCTCTAAACACACTCGAAGGTCTGTGTCGGCGCCTTGTGGATTGGAATACGAAGGCCGAAAGAGAGGGGGTTGAGGTCATGGGGAAGAAGATACGGTTGGGCCCTGTGCAGGTTTCGGGAGATGGTGTCAATGTGGTCGCCCCGGTGTTGTGAGGGGGATTTGAGTTTGTTCGATTTACTCGATCTGAGTGGAGGAGCAGACATCGCACCGGGTTATTTTTTTATGAACATGATATGGCGTACAATTAAATCTGTACTTGATCTTAGGAGTTCGGTTGTAAACTGGAATACGACTTGGCGTGAAATAGAATCATATTTGGAGATAACCTTGGAGGACTCATTGAATCTTCTGCAACTTCCAAAATTTGGAAAAGCCGGGGCCGACCAGCAGTACCCGACCATATCACGGTCTCATTCCTCCTCAATCATCATTTTGACACAAAAGCCATTGTTAAAGCCGGCATGGAAATTGATAAACCTCCATAGATAGTCGTAGCTTGAGATTGATAGTGACCTCGGGACACTCTGCCGAAACACACCGAGAACCCAGTGTCGAGCCGTGTGGGCGAGCAGGAGTCCTCGGTGTAAAAGCAAGAGCGATACACATAGGCCACTTTCGAAGGTATTCATGGGCGAAGGAACAAGGCCATGTAAATCTCAAGTCGCACACATGGCACTCCACCATGCAAGCGTTCCATCAAGCAGACTGTGCGACCAAGAACATGAACCCCTCAGCAGCAGAAGGTCGCTAGAATGACAAGCTTCTATTTCTCAGAAAGATAGTCACGAACAAGACGAGAGTTCTCCTTAGCGAGCCTGTTGCTGAGCCACTTGACGCATATGGTCAAGACGCTGCATGCGCAAACGCTCAGATGCCACCTCAACATCAAGAATCGCCCCGAGACGGTTCTTCCACGTCTCCTCCAGACTGACTAGCTCGCCCTGGATCGCCTCCTGTGCAATTTTTCTCTGCTTGTTCACCTCCTCAGAAGCCTGTTTCGTCTCTGCCAACTCCTTCTCGAGAGAACCAAGTATCTCCTCAAGCTGTGAATTGCCAATCAGCCAAGCGTTCTTGCCATGCTCTTCTAGCAGAGCCAGGTTCTCGTGGCGCTTGGACAGGTGCGAGCTTGACGAATATGCCTTCTGCAAAGTCTGGCGCCATGCGTCTAGGTCGGGTGCCTCGGTATCTGATGCGCGAGTCGGGGCATCTGGTGCTTCGTAACGGGATAGATCGATTCCGCCTGTGAGAGGTGCTCCCTGCGCTTTGCGCGAGAGTTCTTGTTGCATCAATTGAGAGAATTTGGGTTCCGGCAGTTCGGGGATCCAAGGATGCATTGTGGAGGTGTGCTCTGGGGATAGCTCTGCGTTGATGAGCTGCTGCGCTCGCGCTTGCGCGGACGCAGTGGGCGCCGCGTCGATATCTTAGAACGTTAGTGATTGGGACTTCAACGCACATCTCTTGTCCAAACTGGATACATACATGGCAGCGAGTCATGAGATTCGTTGATTAACGGCATTTTGAAGTGGTTTTCTTGTATGGATGTCAAGATCAAGACCTGTAGATTAATCTGAGAACCACATGAAGGCGGCGAGCCCTTGAGTATCGCTGACTCAGCTAGTATTGAACTAATACCACGTGACCCCATGTTTTATATGTACGAGGCAGAAACGAACAAAGTAAACAGTTCTAATTTGCGAGGCAATTAGTATATCTAACGTGAATGCACCAACAGCTTCATTCGAGTCATGAGATAGGTTGGTTGTGTATATTGCTGCAGCAAAAAGCAGGGATGGGACCAGCATTTCCCCTCTAGGAATGCTCTCAACGATGATCCTATCCAGTTTGGATTATTTTTTACGCGAAGTACCTGAGTCTCAAGGCAAGCTTCCAGCCCACCGGATAAAAACAGGCAATTCAATCTTCACCAGCACATCTCGTGCGGGGGGAGTGCAGCGAAAGTCTATTCCCTTTTAGGTGTTCGGATGCAATGGATGACGATCGCTTAGACAAATGTCACCTACCAACCTCGGGAGTACTTCATGTACACTAATGATCAGCTTCTTCACCAGGCTTGGGAGTACTTGTGTAATGATTTTCTGCACTCGTAGGTCGCTCGTTCGTCTTCCCACTATATCCCCTACCAGTGCCCTCGTATAAGAACCCATATCTCCCTGGGATCTCAACTCTTCAAGGGCTACAGTTACTCAGCGCAGATTTATCTATCATTAATTGTGATTGTATTGGAATCCCTTCTCCATAATGGCTCACTTTCGCATGGGCGTGACTTTTGTTGGGGTGACTCTTGCGCTGCTGGTGTTTTTGCAGCTGAGTGCGGTATTCAAGCTCGATAGCCAGTCGCAGTTGCCTTCGCCTAGGTTTATTTCAAACTTCAACCAGTGGAGAAGCAGAGCAAGCTCGGCGGCAACTGATATCTTTGTGGTCGGAGCAGGCAAGGCAGACGTAACTGGGTATGTTTATGCGTTAATTCTGACATATCAATGCACTGAGTTGGCTAATATGATTACTAGGCCCGTTGTGGAGCTTGCTCTTGCTGGCTATGCCAGTTTGGACCAACTAGGCACTGGTTTAAAGCAGAGACTGTATTCTCGCGCCTTCATCTTCGCAGACCCAGATAAGCCCGATGACACTTTTGTTTACCTGGTTGTCGATACACTTGCGGGTGACACGGCCGTGCGACATGGTGTCCTGGAGGGTCTCACTGCACTCGGTGGGGAGTATGCACGGTACGGCGAACACAACGTTGCAATGACGGGAACACATTCGCACTCCGGGCCTGGAGCGTGGATGAACTACCTGTTACCTCAGATCCCGGCACTAGGCTTCGACAAGCAAAGCTATCAAGCCATTGTCGACGGCACTATTCTGTCAATCGTCCGTGCCCATGAGAACTTGGCGCCGGGTCGGCTCTCTTTTGGATCCATCGACTTGCAAGACACTAATACAAACCGCAGTCCTTTTTCATATGAGCATAATCCCGAGGAAGAACGGGCGCGGTATTCTGCCAATGTTGAAAAATCGCTCTCGCTCATTCGGTTTGATCGCGAATCCGACAATAAAACCGCGGCTGTCCTAACATGGTTCCCTGTTCATGGCACATCTATGTACAACAATAACACTCTGGTCAGTGGCGATAACAAAGGTGTTGCGGCTTACCTCTTCAAGCGCAGCGTCCACGGCGATGCGAGGTTCACCGAGGATGCCGTAATTGGATTCTCTCAGGCGAGTGTTGGGGACACATCCCCTAATATCCTCGGTGCTTGGTGCGAAGACGGCTCTGGAGAGATGTGTCGATATGAAGATAGCACCTGCGATGGCAAAAACGAGGATTGCCATGGTCGAGGTCCTTTCTTCCGCGAGAACGACAATGGAGCGAAGAGCTGCTTCGAGATTGGGCGCCGCCAGTACGCAGCAGCAAAGAAGCTTTACGAAGAGATGGACACCACCCCTATCAAAATTATTGGAGGTTCAGCCGTGAAGTCTTTCCATGTGTACCAGGACATGAATGGCTACACTTTCCCATCGCCGTTCAACTCTAGTACGCTAACGACTTGCTCTGCGGCTCTGGGGTACTCGTTTGCCGCTGGAACTACAGATGGACCTGGTGCCTTTGACTTTACCCAGAATGCTACTGGTCCAGCTGAACGCAACCCCCTGTGGCAAGTTGCGCGTGCAGTTATTCACCAACCCAGCGAAGCGCAGCAGCAGTGTCAAAGTCCAAAAGACGTCCTATTGGATATCGGAACTCTTACTGAACCTTATGCTTGGGCCGCGGACATTGTCGACATCCAGGTCTTACGAGTGGGTCAGCTGTTCCTCATTATATCCACCAGCGAAGCTACCACGATGTCTGGGCGACGCTGGAAGGAGGCTATTGCGAAAGAAGCAAAAAACCAACTTTTAATTTCCGATCCTTTAGTGGTACTAGGAGCCCCATCAAACAGCTACGCTCACTACGTGGCGACAGAAGAAGAGTACGGCGCTCAGCGCTACGAGGGCGCGTCCACACTCTACGGCCCAAACACGCTGGCAGCTTATGTCAATCTGACCCTTACTTATCTGCCATATTTGGGAAGTTCCTCAGGAGTTGCCAAACTCCCAGCCATCCAACCCGGTCCCAACCCATCAATCAACACCAACCGTTCCTTGAGCTTCATTGCAGGGGTTGTGTATGATGGAGCGCCCATTGGCAAACACTTTGGGAATGTGACTTCAAACCCGGGGAGTGGACCCTATGGCCCCGGAGATATTGTGAAGACGACCTTTGTGGGCGCCAATCCCCGCAACAATCTGCACCTCGAATCGACATACGCTGCGGTTGAAAGAAAAAGCGATTCTGGCACATGGGAGGTTGTGCGCAATGACCGTGATTGGAATTTGGTCTTCATGTGGAAGCGGACCAATGAGATTCTTGGCCATAGTGAGGTGACAATTCAATGGGAGATTGAGGATGAGTATTATAATGTCGACACTACGTCCCCCCTGCAGGCTGGGACCTATCGGATGCATTATTATGGAGACTCAAAGAATATTTTTGGCCAAATCTCGCCATTCGAGGGCATTAGCGAGACTTTCACAGTGAATACTTCATAATCTGACTCATTCAGAATATGGGTGTGTTGGCTTGGTGGCAAGTTGAATGAATGGTGTCAAATAATCTAATTGCCAAAATGTACAACCCAGTAACCAGGCCTCAGTGATTATATCTTCACTTACGCGCCCGTACACGTAGCAAATGAATTAGCCAGACACTCTCGGTCTACAAATCTATCTGGTCCATATGTCAACATGGAATCCTTAATAATAATAATAAAGTGGTTCTGCACCTGCAGCCAGCCAATCACCACGCGCCATCGATCAAGGCCGGGCGCCTACTGCGACGTCTCTTTGTCGCGCGATCTATTTCTAGCATAAATTCGTCTCACAAAGAACCCCTTGCAATAGCGGTTCCCTCCGGGATTGATACTACTGGGTTGTTTCAGACTTATCCATGGAAAAGCTCCCAAGGATGAACAATGGGCGGCTGACAGGAAGCCCTAAGCCGACTTGGCCAGAAACCCCAGAGTGCAGATATATCAGCCAGGGTCCCCGAAGGCGAGGGCTTTGAAAGAGAAATCTCTTTCCTAATAAAATCTCAGGTTGCTTCATCTTGCCCCATTCTTTTGTTTCTCTTCATTTTTGTGGTCCCTAGTGATCCAGTCATTCTTTCATCTGCAAGCCATCAAGACGCCTCCTAGGCCTTGTATGCATTCCCATTAATTTCATAATATTTTCTTTGGGTATGCTTTTTTATACATCGGACTGTCTCTGTTTTATTCAGGTGCTCTAGTATATCTCTGATTGAGCACCCAATTTTCTTTACTGTCCCACTTTGTCGAAGTCGTGTCCCGGCGATCACTTCCAACACTCTCGTTTCTAAACCAGGATGCTTCGCTTTCAGTTCTTTTTGTTCCTTCTTCTGCCGTGGATGGCTTCGGCTGGTCCGATCTCTCGCTGGTTGTCTCGGTCATTGGAGGCATCTGCGCCGACTTATTTCCCCTTATTGCCGGATATCGAACGGCGTCAAGCTGGCGGTATCACCGCAATCACGCCTGTGGCAGCACCTACCCAGCAATCGTTTACGTACGACGAGCCAATAGTACTTACCCTTTTCTAAACCATTAAGTCAACCACCTAGCTAACCATCACTTCAAAGCCAACTACATACCATGCGTCATCCACAACTCATAACACAACCACCAGCCAGAGGCCAACTACGCAGCAGCCAACTCCACAGCAACCAACCACGACTCATAGTACAACTACTAGTCAGAAGCCAACTATGCAGCAACCAACTACAACTCAAGAGCCAACTACAACTCAAGAGCCAACTACAACTCAAGAGCCAACTACAACTCAAGAGCCAACTACAACCCATAAGCCAGTCATCACCTCTCATGTGTCCACTACGACTCGGCGATTCATATCCTCATCCACAAACCCGGGAATGCTGCTTTCATCAACAATAACTAGCGTATTACCTGCGTATATTCCAGGCTCAACATCCTCTCCCGATTCTTTGGTGGTGCCGAGTTCAGCCCAATCTTCATCGGCTACGCTTCTAGGTGGAACAACCAGCATCAAAGCTACCACAGCCACATCGCCAATATCGACCTCTACGACGATACACCCAACAATATCACCGGTGCCCACAGTGCCCACAAGTCGTAGCCCAACGGTCGGAGTCATTCTACCTCTAGGAGGAGCAAGCAGCAGCAATTATTCCACGTTCACACCGGTGGTATCAACCTCCGATTCCATCCAACCAGCAAAGGCTACGCAGGCATCCATACAGCTTCTTACCTCAGAATCCAAGCCAGTGGTGACCGTAACCGAGCCTGTGATCGTATATGTGACTCAAGGAGCGCCAGCTCCCTTCTCGACAAGTGTCATCCATCACGCACCCAGTGTCAATAGTTCATCGGTATCATTGGCAAATTCAACGTCTGTTGAACCAACAACTACATCTTTGACGTTTGTGACCATCCATTCCACTGCAACATCGGTTGTTCGTGTCACTGTTTACCCAACATCATCACCATCATCTGCTTCTTCGCTTTCGGTCTCAACCGGGAGCACTTCGAGTGTGAATGCAACGCCAGTTGTTCCTATGACCGTTGACTCGACAACACTTTCGCTTCCTTCATCGTCTTCGTTGTTGTCGTCCTCCTCGAGTGAGATTGCTTCTGTGGTAACAGCTCACGTCACTTCCACGAGTGTTGTTCCTCTGACTGTTCACCCAACTACGTCGTTGCCTGTATCTTCGTTGTTGCCGTCCTCAAGTGAGATTGCTTCTATAGTGACAATCCGTGTCACTTCCACAAGTGTTGTTCCAGTGACCGTTTACTCGACAACATCGCCATCTGCTCCATTGTTGCCGTCTTTAGGTGAGACTGCTCCGCGTGAGACTGCCCCTGTTGTGACAGCTCATGTCACTTCCACAAAAACAATTCGCGTGACCTTGTATGGTACTGCTACCCGAGCAGCGAAAACTACACATACAGCAGATCCCACATCTACTGTGGATGCCAATATCGCTACCACAACCTCTAAGGCAGGCCAAGGCATACTTACTGTGAATCCGGTTACGCCGTCTGGCTTTATCACGATCACTGAGACTGAGACGGAGACAAAGACTAAGACAGTGACAGATCGCATTACTGAGACTGTTACTGCCACCGTCACTCGGAATTAATTGTATGATTGGGAGGAAATTGATTCTTTTATCCTTTTAATTATTATGCATGGAGGCTTCTTTCGCTGAGGTTTTTTTCTTTCATATTTCAGACTAATTTCTCTAATCTATGTCGAAATGTTCTTTATAGCTACAAGAATACTAAGCTTTATTCAGGCTAAGCCATAAGATGACATGTTCTGTCCTCTGTACATACCTTAGCTTTTGCTATTGTATATCCAAAATAAACTTTAGAGATCATGTCCGATTTAGACCCATATAGATCACATCGGCTGTGTTTTATCATTTCTATAATATAGGCGAGTCTCCCGAGGTCAGACAAACCCTTACAATCGGATAGTACTATGAGCACAACCACCTCTACCTCGCCTTCCACCTAACCCTCCCAACCCAGATAGCCCAGTCCCGCACATCCTCCCTCTCACATATCCTCTCAACAGTAAACCACTCCCTAGCCAGCTCCTCATTACTCGCCATGCGATGCACGAAACTATGACAAGCGCGACAAAGCCACGCCACACTATTCAACATCCACTCATCATGCCACCCCTTCTTAACGACCTTCGCATGCACCCCGCGGGGAATCAAATGGTGATATGAGAGCGGGATCCAGTCGCGCTCGCAGATCTCGCACGCGTCCGCGCGCGTGCTCGCCCATGCCGGCGGGCCAGTCGTCACGCTCGATGTGTACTCCGCCAGCACGGGCGCGAGGAAGTCCAGCAGGTCTGCTGCGTCAGCAATGATGCCATAGACGACTAACGAGTCGGTTACGCTAACTGGGATTGGAGAGAATAGGGTTTCGAGCGTGGCGCGTGGGAGGGGCGTGTCGGTGTCTTGGGGGATGTAGAGGGTTGATAGGGTTGGATCGTGTTGGATGGCTGCGTAGCTTAGGGTTTGGAGGGCGGTTGGCAAGGTGGTGAAGGTTTCTGAGGCTAGGAACTTGGGTTGTTAGCTTTGAGTCCTGTTAGTTGTTGGCTGTGATGTGTAGGTTTGTTGGGCCTGATTGCTTTGCGCTAGGTTGGACTTGGCCGGGTACAATGTACATCAACAAATTCGGCGAGCTCTTCCGGGTCTGCTCTCCCTGTTGAGACGGTTGTCGCTGTTATTACGTCTTTGCGCCCGGTGCGCTTGCCCTTTGGCTTCCGTCGCGCTGGCTTCTGTTTTTCCTCTGAACGAGCCACGATGGCATTAGACAGACATTCGCGGAACACAGCATAATTCTCATTGGAAGTCATTGAGACTTGATTAGGGGAAAACCAGCCTTGACCTATAGCTCGGTCCGGAGGGGATGTCGGGCAAGTCTGTTTTGCCCCACGGAAAATTGACATCATTCTTCAGTGACCTTCTTCAAGGCTCCGAACTTCACTGCCTTTGACCTCGAGATTTATGAGACATCATGACAGCTAATACAGCCAATACAGTTATCGCTTTTGATTTATATGGCACTTTACTCTCAACTGAATCGATCGCCAAACACTTAGAGAAACATTATGACAATGCCAAGGCGCAGTCTATCTCCGCGCTCTGGAGGCGGTATCAACTGGAGTACACATGGAGATTGAACAGCATGGGCAAGCAACACTTCCAGGCTTGGCGCTCAAGTTATTGACGATCAAAAGGCCGCTATGAAGACTTCTCAGTCATCACGCGTAACTCCCTACTGCACGCGCTAGCCGACAACAACGACCAGCTGAGCAACGACAACATCGAACGCTTGATGCAAGCTTACGATAGTCTCTCTACATTTTCTGACGTGCATCCAGCTTTGATCAACATCGCTGCAGACCCAACCATCCAAGCTGTTATATTCTCCAATGGAACGAAAACCATGGTAAACAACTCGGTATTGCGATCAAAGGACCTTTCGCCGCACGCGAGTGTCTTCCAAGAAATCGTCACCGTAGACGAAGTCCAGCAATATAAGCCATCAAAGGCAACCTACGAGCACCTAGCGAAGCAGATAGGCCAAGATCCGTCGCAGATGAGCAAACTTTGGCTGGTTAGCGGCAACCCTTTCGACATTGTCGGAGCGCGCGCTACAGGCATGCAGGCTATATGGGTTGATCGTGTTGGTACAGGATGGAAGGATGCCATGGCTCCAGATCTACAACCAACGGCCATTGTACACAGTCTGGAGCAAATTGTGAACGAGATTCATAGCCGTCGGCTTTAAGCTAGGGCATAGAGAACAAACTTCGAACGGAGGTATCTAGACACTAGACACCAAGAGAAGTTGTGAAAGGAGGAATGTACAGCTGAATATATTTCCAAACGCTCCACACTTGAGTAGAAGAGTTTGGGGTAAGCCAGCAGATTTGCTCTTTCCTCCCATTTCCCCTCCAGAACAGTGATTGTAACAAAGGTTCAGAGTGAATAGGGAGGATTTCAGTTTATGTGAAGAAGAAAAGGAAGAGGGCGCTCGGCGAAAAATTTCTCGATCTAATAGTACGAGCTTAGTCATCCGACTGATATCCCATGGGTCACGTGTGAGCTTAGCTTATCGATAAGGTGCTGCCTGTCCAGGTGCTTTGAACTCGTCGTTGGCAAGGAATATTTGAACCGGTGAAACTGCAAACCATGTCGCGACTCCTGGATCCCAGCCGAGCTGCTTGGCTTTACCCTCTTCGGGTATGTCAATTTGGGGGCTCCTACGCTTCAAGACTAACCTGAATAGGGAATCTACTATTTTGCGTCGAATCGATTCCTATGGCCTTTCTTCAAGGCCCGCCTTGTCCCAATCGTCCTCCTTTCTTCCTTCATATACTTCATCCTATTTTTCTTCACCTACCTGCCCCAGGTTGCCTTCCTTGCCATCTTTCAGGGCAGCTCAGCATGGGTGAGCGGCGCATTCCTGGTGCTTGGTGAAGGAGCTGCAATTGTTGCCGCCCTCTTCGAGGCATTCTTCGTCGATGAGACCCTAGTGGATATATTCGATGCAGTGTTAGTAAATGAGGGTCAGGAGGAGCTTGTTACTACCTCGCGGGTCATTTACCCCGAGCCTGGCAACCCGGCCAAGCGTCTAGGCACGCCGACCACCAGTGCCGTGTATTCTCCATTTTCGTTGCGGCAGATCGCCGAGTTTATAATCCTGCTTCCGCTTATATTTATTCCGGTGGCCGGCACCCCTATGTTCCTAATTTTGACTGGCTATCGTGCCGGTCCCCTCCATCACTGGCGTTACTTCCACCTGCTGGACATGTCCAAGCAGCAGAGAAAGGAAACCATCAGTCGGCATCAGCTGCAGTACACTACGTGGGTCATGTTCATTTCCTCTGTTGATATGAGATCTAACGCACTCTAGCTTTGGGACGATGGCTCTGATCCTTCAGCTGATTCCTCCTTTCTCTATGCTATTTCTGATGACCACGGCTGCTGGGTCGGCACTTTGGGCGACGGATATCGAACGCAAGCGACGAGCTATCAACCAACAGTCCAGTCGACTGGGTGAACAATACCGTGACGATATTATGCCTTGACCTGTGAACGATATATCTCGAGATTACTGCAAATACATCTAATTTTCCTTTTCTGGTTCCTGATTCAGCTTTGGTCTGTGCCACTAGGGAGGAGCAATGAATATTGTTAAATCCAATCTAATTCCCTCTCCGTGATTAAATTCGAAACGGCGGACTTGGGAATTGCTTTTTCGAGCGCTGTCATGGTAACTCCCTAATGCCCTCCGCCATAAAAAGGACACGTCCGCGCCACTGTTCCTCACCTTCTCTCACTTTTCCATTCTTCCTGCTTCTCTGTCTTACACTCATCGCTGCGCCTTTGCAATTTCGCCCACTCAATCGGACTCGCCGACTACGCTACCAAGCTGGAGACCCACCTCAAGGCTTTGATAGATTGAATTGTAGCGAAGTCAAAGTTTAGCATGACCTCTCAAAAGGACATTGCAGATATGACCAGATCACATTTACAAACTGCGGGATTTACCCTGCCATCATTATAAATAGAATTGACATACTTTTTTGACCGCTGATTCTTGTTGAGTGAGAATGAATGTAGGTAGTTGTATTGCGTACAGAAGATGCTGTATATTAAGTACACTCAATCCACAATATAACTCGAGGAACAAAGGGAAGATGGACTTTGAGGTGCTGTGAAGTAGCTCACAAGCCCGATACCAAAGGAATATTTAGTTTCGTCGAAACTGGCCTTGAGTCCCTCCCACCCACCATCCCCATACCAGGGAACGCATCCCAAGGACTTGTCGCCGAATCCCTCAACTTCCGTCTCTTCGTCAGTGCAATCGCTATACTCATAATTCCACACCCAGAAGGTCGCCGTGACTTCCGCGGAAGTAGTAATGCTAGTTGCAGTCTTTAATGAGCAGAGAGTGGCTGCAGTAGTTGTATCATCCGTGTCACGCTTCAGCACCACGCTGGAATCCTCCGTGAAGTCCCAGGAGATGGTTGGGCTGCAGACACTAGTACCACCTGAGTCCAATCCGTAGGTAGATCTCAAGGCTGCGTAGGCCGCAATCATGGAGGAGGCTTCAGTCAAGGCATTGGTCTCGCCAGAGTTGCCCGCAATCGTTGTCAGATATGTGACCTCTGTGTCCATAATATTGACCATTTCATCAACGGAGGCCTGCACGTAAGTTGTAAGTCCAGACTTTGCGGTCATGAAAGTCTTGAACTGGTATGTAAATTGTTGCCGCTCAGTCTGGGAGTAGTCTGCAGCAGATTGGTTGAGATCCAGTTGTCCAAAAGAAGCCTTGAGGGAAAGCTTTGGTTAGAATCAGATCAATTCTTTCAAGAAAGCATGACTCACATCTTATTATATAGGCGCCGGTTCGTCTTCTGCATGTAGTTGTTGATGCCATCGTTGGTGATCAGATAACAGGACATCACCATTTGCTGGAGCTTTTCCAGCTTGGTCCTGAACTTGATGCGGGCGCCAAGAGTTTTCAAATCTTTAATGGCTTCCTTTTTGCCTACCCAAGCAGTAGATTCCTTGATTGCACCGGCAGCTCCGACCATGCTATCATACCCCTTGCCACCGAAATTAGATTTGGCGATGGAGGCCTTGATACGATTGAGCTCTTGACTAATGCCGATGTAGTCGAAGTTTGTATCAGAAGCAAGAGCACCGTAAATCTACCTCAGGTTAGCCACATCGAAAGAAGGAAATATATTGGGATGACTCACACTCTGGAGGCGATTGCCACTGCAGCCAAAGAAGATCTCCTCACCCTGCTCACAACTCAAAGGAGACACCTTCACGCCTTTATTCACCGCCGCTATTTCAGCCGTCACGCCAGTAAACATAGCATTGAAGAAATCCTTAAGCCATCCCATCTCCCCTAAAAAAGAAAGCAGATCACATTAACATCCCAAAGTTGGCAGAAGAGAAGGTGGAGTCCACTTACAAGCATAGTCCATGGTGGCCCCATTGTTGAAACCAGCCGGCAGGTTTGATAAATCGCTTTCCTTGGTTACCATGGCCGAACATGCCCCTGCCGTTGTTTTGTGGAACCACCGCGGCATGGAGGTCTGGGTGCCCTCAATCTCACCTACAGCTTCACTGTTGAACCAATCGTATCCATTTGTATAAGGCGGCGCAGTGACTGCAGGGTCTGAACCTATGGTGCATTCACCGAGCCTCGTGATGGTCTCTCTTTTCGCACCTTCGCGCTTGTCTAGAATTGCGCCATATGACCTACCAGCGACAGTTGCAGTTGGTCCAGGAGTCACCATAGCATTTGCCACGACGTCAGACGCCGTGGTAGTAGCCTCTGGCAGCTCCGAGCCCGCTCCCGCCGTTTCAAGTCAATGGATGGCCACGCGAACTCGGATTGGTACAAGATGGGCCAGTTGTCCGCATATTCTGCATCATCATCGCTGTAAAAGGGAATATAATGCCAAGCACATGGATCACATCCTCCGAAGGTATCAATACCTACATCAAGGATAGCCCCTGTGGCTACAGCTGGACAAGCAGGGGTTCCGGCCGTGGTAATTCAGAGTATAAATGACTCACATTCATAGATCACTTTTATGTGTGTTTTTGTGAAAAGTCTGGAATGGGTGACTCTCGAATAATGCTTGGACCGCGAGATCAACTCCTCTCAGGGTCTTCAGGGTCGTGATTCAGGGGAGGAGGTTTGGCCCCACGTCCTGGTCAGGTCCAATTTCTCGCGCGATAGCACATTAAAAATAATAATCCATTTTGAAGCGGGCTTTCTCCAATTTGGGGACCATTGACGCAGTGGAATATGGCACCATACAATTGTGATATTTAATTCCATTAATTTCATTTCACAACGTACCTATATTGTAAGAGAACTCCGTAGGTAACTAACTAAAGGTAGGAGATAGGTCCTTCCTAATTTGGAGCATTCATCCCCATAATTTCTGCCCACTTCTGGCTTACATACGCAGGCGTCGAGGCATAAGCGGTAGTTACAAATAGTTATCAATCCCATAACTAGTTAATTAAATAATAACATAACTAACCAACCAGATATTTTTTGGTTTTATGTACAACATACAATATAAATCGGTTACGGGTTTTCCCGACTAGGTCTAGCGGCGCTCTGCGGGCCTAGGTGGAGCCCCGGGGAGCATCGGCCTCAGGATCCATGTGTACTCCACTAGGAAAACGGGAAAACGGCCGTTTGTCGGCAATTTCCCAAAATCTCAATAAGTTGTCATTAGGGAGCTCTCTCCTGCTCTAATGTTGCATCAAAGTGGTCTTCCCTTACTCCTTGTCTTGATATCCACGGTAATGTGATTGACATGATGGACCCATCCAACAATCGGCTGCCAGGGGCTGCCCTCGGAGGTCTGGCTTCACATCTTAAGCATGGTATGTCTTGTAAAACGCAAAGAAATCAATAAAATGCCAAGCTCACATCACAATTCAGCTGGATTGCCCCTCTCTCAAAGCTGTTGTGCTCTGCAGCTCTGGTGTGTATAAAATCGCCGCTTCAATACTCTTCAAGACTCTCTATCTAGAGTCCAAGGTGGGGGTTCCCAGTGAACAACTCCCGTGGAAAAGTTATATCCATCCCACTCATTTGTGTGTGCATGTGAAAAACATTGTCGTGGTGCACTCCTATGGTGTTTCTCCTTACCAGTTTGACTTCTGTGATGAGTTTGTGGAATTCCTATCATACCTATTTAGGGTGGCGGAGAATCTTCAGAACTTTCAGTATGTTGCTTTCTCTTTCGTTTTGACACAGCGCTGATTTCCTTTAGCTGGTGGCATGAGAGATATATGCCAGGGGAAATTTTGTACCATCTTTACAAATACTGCCCCCAAGCAAGTGTCCACATAGCTAGCTCGAAAGTTGCACTATGTGAGAAAATCAACAAGGATGATTCATCGGCACCTCAACTCTCCTGTATCCGTTCAATCGAATCAGAATGGTACAGCGGAGAGTATGATAGACCAATCAGGCCAAGTTCAGCTGCAAGCTATCCAGCTGGATTGAAAGATATTATTTATCGAAGTAAGAACCTCAAAAACCTCACACTGGTTAGCACGTCAAATTGGAGGCCGCTTTCCAGGACGCCGCGTCGTGATGGCGACATCTCACCTCATGTCAAGCGGAGGGAACTTGAAGCCCAAAGGAATCAGAGGGGTCTCATTACGTTGGAAGAAGGGAATATTCTTCCTCAAGTCAAAAACATTCAGTTCCAAAGTATGAGATTTGGACCTCTCCAGAGCACGTTATGGGCCACACAACTACAATGGCATACCATCAAACATTTATCCTTGATCGCCGTCGATTGGATTCACTTGTTGCCCAAGATCACTGCTCCTAGCTGCTTTCATGCGCTAGAGACTCTAGAGATAAGCATTTATTATAAAACAGACCGCCCTGAATCTATCGAACGGGTGGAGCAATTCCACGACTTTCTGAAAGAGCTTCCACCTTTGAAAATGTTTATCGGGTATGGATTTCCACAGAAAACTCTGGGGGTATTGGCGAAATATCACGCCAAATCCCTTCATCACCTACGGTTTCGATCTTCATTGAGACTCGATCTTGACGGGGGAAAATCTCCTGCCAGCATTCACAATCTCGTCAATCTAGCCGATCAACTCCCAAACTTACTATCTCTCGGTATTAATCTGGACTGGATGCCCGACGATGAAATGATGAGTATCCCCGCCATTATTTTACCATTAATGGAGGCTTCCCAGTCGCTAATATTACTATAGCCATACGATCTTCTCGTCAACATTGTTCAACACACTCATCTCCAACATTTAGAACTCAACATACCAGGCCTTGGTTGTTATCACTCTGAGTGGCCTTACCCCAACCTTAACGAAATGACTTGTCGGGCCCTTATCGAGTTCTTTGACGAGACGTCCCTAAACCTTCTCTCATTACATTTCGTCATTGGCGACTGGTTTCCTTTTGGGCCTCCACCAATTCTACAATGGTATCAGGCAGCGTTCCTGGTCGGCGAGCGGGACTATGCGGGTCATATGCGCTTCAGCAATGTTCGGCAGTACAGGCAACTTCGGAAAATGATACGCGAGGGGACTTTTGTTCCACGAGTCCCATCGCGCCAGCTGAGGGGGGACTGGCCCACTGATCTACGGCAGGATATAGAAGACCGAATTAGCGACCTCTTTTGTGGAAAAATGCCGAGAAAAGAATCTTGGTAGCGGATATCTGTCACATACATGCTCACTGTTATCCCGCGCTTTTCAGAGACAATATGCAATATCTTGATGTCGAATTGAGATCTTTACCTCTTTACCAGGGCACATATTCTAGGAATGTCTTATTTCATAGATGAATTTTCGATCCCTATAAATACATTATACGGTCGCTCACCCATACTTCAAGGCTACATTTGCTTCATTGTTTTAGTTCCTTCATAATTTTCCTACTTCTCCTAATCTATGAAGTGGTAGGAAGAGCAGGAACGGGCCTTATAGTTCATAATACCACATCATCGACTACTCACATGTAGGAGATATCTATGGATACATATTTGTGCTGTAGGTCATGCTTTATCCATGGATATGCATCTCCATTCAAAGCATCTGCTTGATATATTCGTCTACAGTGCAGATATAATTTTCACATTCTTCACTTCGATGTAGGTTTAACATACGCGGCATAGCAAAATGTACCTGATTCGAGAGTAATGACCATCATGGAACATTGATTATTTGGATTCGGGTTCTAACCAAACAATAGAGTAGTGTATACGAAGGCAACCACCACGACTTCGACGACCAGTTCATGTACTACACTAACGGGTGGCAAGGCAGCTTTCTGGCGTCAAAAGCGGTCCTTTTCGGCGTCCTCTTCACAGGTCCTCATGTTCTAGTTGTAAAAAAGGTCTGGAATACGAGCGGCACGTGACTGCACCACGGTCCGAGACGTGTTTTCTTCTTTTGGGAATGTATTCACATTATAATCCTTGGACTCATCCCTTGAGAGCAAAACATCATAAGTACTTTTTTTATAGTTACCAAGGCAGAGAGTTCATGTACCCTAGACTTTCCAGGCCTTGGACAATTCGGAGACAATTCGGAAGTGTGACCCCGTACTTCGAACCTTTGCCCGAGATTTTCAGAGCCTCTAGAGCCTCAGCTTTGAAGTTCCTGGCTCATTCCGACCTTCGGGACGGATTTTGGTTTATAGTCAAGCCTGGAGTCTGGATGTTTGGGCTGTCTTTGGGCCGATTAAACATGACCTGACGGGCGTGGTCATCCCGGCAATTTGCTCATCGATGGACCTTAAAACAAGGCTGCGCAAGGCCTGCGATGCCTGCAGTATTCGGAAAGTGAAGGTATGGTTCTTTTGTCATTGTTATGCGGGGGAATACTAATTTATACGCAAGTGTGATACCGCTGGGCCACCTTGTCGGTCGTGCGCTAGCTTGGATATTCCCTGCACCTATGAAAGACCAAGCAGGCGCCGCGGTCCCCCTAACCGCCATGCAGAAGCGTTTAAGAAACAAAGGCGGGAACCCGAAGATGCAGTGTCGCTGAGCCCGGCAAACTATCCGTCGGCGACGACTCCCCTGGCAGCGCCATTCACCAATTCTCAATCTGCATCGCTCCCCCTATCGGTAGAATCGATTTGTTCTTTGCACACGATGCAGATGTTGCTCGATGACTTTTTTACTTACATTCATCCTTTGGTCCCAATTCCACACGAGCCTTCTTTTCGAGCAGCCTTTGAGCGCCGGGAAGATGTAACCAACCACACATTTTTGGCGCTTTTGGCGTCAATGATTGGACTTTTAGTGGCTTCCTTCCCTCGACGACCTAAACTCCGACTCAACACTGAAGCCGAACGCACCGCTTTCCCCAATTCTATAGCTCTAGTAAAGCGGTGCCTTGACGTTGCGATTCAAGCCCGCGGGACCGGATATCTTGATCGCAACGCCACAGTCTACGATGCAGCAATCAGCTATTTTCTCGGTGTATGTGCCGGGTATATTTACAACATGCGTCGATGCCGTGTATACCTGTCGGAATGCCGAGCCATGCTCCAAGTGTATGATCTATACCGGTCTCCGACCACCACCAACCGCCCGTCCTCGACATTAGGACCCCTCAGCCCACTATCGTCGGCCTTACTAATGGTGCAGGATCCACCAGCACATAATTTCACGGAAAGCCAAGGCGTCGACCTCATCACCCAAGAGCTCGGCCGGCGTCTGTTCTATGTCACCTTAGTCGGATATCAGACATTGCATCAGATGGGCTCTTCAGA